TGTATGGATATTATCCTATCACTGACAGCATTGTACTTCAGGATAGATCTTGAAATATTCTTTGTGACAATGAATGCCATGCCATTCCTCTTCAATTGGTCATTCTCAGCATAGCAGGTCCTGTGGTTGTCTGATTCAAAATGGCCAAAAACAGTCCATTTCAGCTCAGTAATGCCTAGGATAATGATCTTTATGCATTCCTTTTCATTTTTGACAACTTCCAATTTTCCTAGATTCATACTTCATACATTCTATGTTCTGATTATTAATGGATGTTTGCAGCTGTTTCTTCCCTTTTGAGTCATGCATCAGCAAATGGAGGTCCCAAAAGTTTTACTCCATTCATGTCATTAAAGTTGACTCTACTTTGAGGAGGCAGATCTTCACCAGTAGTATTTTGAGTGCCTTCTAACCTGAGGGCCTCATCTTCCAGCACCATATCAAATAATGTTTCAGGGCTATTCATAAAATTTTCCAGTAATATATGAAACAGCGTTTCACTGCTTATCTTAAGATTTTCACTGGCCAATACTTTGAGGAGTGGATGGCCCCTTCCTTCATCTGAGTGTGTCTTAGTCTGGAAGTTCCACTGAAACCTGTCTACCATAGGCAACAATGCTGGTGTTTGAAATACTAGCCTCCAGCCTCACAGCAACATGCAAGCTACCACAGTACAACAAACTGGCAGAAGAGTGATGGATTTTGCCCATATAATCTTTCAATATTGCAACACAAGGCTTGAAATTTTTCTTCAGTTCTTTCAGCTTGAGAAATGCCAAATATGTTCTTCCCTTTTGGTTTTCTAACTCTACTTCTTTGAACATTTCATTATGAGATTTTACTTTGTTTTCTAGAGCCACCTTTTGAAATCTTCTATTCAGCTCTTTTACTTCATTTCTTCCATTCACTTTAGCTACTCTATGATCAAGAGAATATTTCAGTTACTCTTCTACCATTTTAACAATGTTGGTCTTCTTTCTTTCTCATCTTTTTCATGACTTTTTGTGTTCTTCATGTATGATGTCCTTGGTGTCATCCCACAATGGGTCTAGTCTTCAATCATTAGTGTTCAATGTATCAAATCTATTCTTGAGATGGTCTTTAAACTCAGGTGTGATTACTCAAGGTCATACTTTGACTCTTGGGGACTTGTTTTCATTTTCTTCAGCATCAAATTGAATTTCCACATAAGCAAATTGAATCCATATTATCGTTCCATAGATGAAGTCAGTTTGATTCCTGTATATTCCACCTTGTGTATGTATATATATTGTCACCATTTATGTCTTTGAAAAAAGGTATTTACAATTACTAAGTCATTGGTCTTGCAAAATTCTATCGTGCAGTCTCATGTATCATTTCTACCACCAAGGCTGACCCTTCTTCTTGGTTTCCAGTCTCTAGGAATTGTCAATGTATCAATACTTGCTTGTATTTGAAATATCAGTTGCATTGATTCCAGCATTGCAGCAATGCACAAGCCAGCCACCACAGTACTATAAACTGATAGATGACTGTTGGACAAAAATATTTAGAGTAGCTTTATTTCCACTAATCAAAAGTTAGAATAAATAAAAATGTCCACAAGGAGATAACTAACGTGTGCTATAATTTTACAATAGAATATTAATAAAACATTAAAAGGATAAATACATGCAACAACATGAGTGAATCTCAAAAATATTATGCAAAGTGAAAGAAGAGACACTAGACACAAAAGAATCATATGTGTATTATATCATTTATATGAACTTCCAGAGCATGCAAAACTGGTCCATAGTGGAAAAAATCTGAACAGTGATTCCCTTGGAGTTGGGGGTAGGGTTGTCTGAGAAGGGACAAGAGGAAAACTTATGGGATGATTGTCATTTTCTGTAACTTGGTAGAGATTTGGATTACTGCTGTATGCATTTATCAAAACCCAGCAAATGTATATCCTTATTTAAGCATTTTCTTTTTTGAAAATTTCACCTCAAATGGTCCAAAAAATAATAAACTCTTAACAAATGTTGAACTCTAATGAATGACATGCATGCTGAATTAGTTATGAAGTGTACTGATCTTTGCAACTTGCTTTGAAATGCATAAAAAAATATGATGGATAGCAGATAGAATGGATGAGTAAGAAACCAAATGTAGTTTCAAAGTAATGGAAGAATGTAGAAACTGGGTTTCAAAGTAATGGAAGAATGTGTTCACTGTAAATTCTTTCCACCTTGTATGTATTTAAATTTTGAATAATAAAATGTGAAAATTATAGTCTGGACATGGGATAGATAATGAATCTGGGGCAGTCAAGAATGAATATAAGAGGGCCAGGTAGGAGGTGGCACATCACACAATAGGAACACTATGGCATGCTGGGTAAGTGTTAGAGACAGGAGAAGCATTGCAAGTGAAGAAATCCAAGGGTAGTAATAGAATTTGGAGATGGCTTTTGGATACAGAGCCTGGGAAGAACTTTTCAACAATTGTGACTCTTCCAAATGGATGGAGTTGAAAAGAACTAAGGTCATGCATTTAGATCTGCTGACATATCCCTGGAAGACTTCTGAGCAGCTATGCTAACTGGGTAATTATATCTATGGGTCCAGGACTCAGAGGCAAGGTTTGGACTGTGGCTATAAATTTGGATATCACTGGCAAATATTAGTAATAAATGCAGTTGAAGCACAGATGAAGTTATCAAGAGTAGAACACAGAGTTGGGCTGAGGCAATGAAGAACACTGACATTCAGAAGCTACAAGCAGAGAATATGAGAAATTATGATAATGGAAAGGGGACTGAGGAGGAATAGAACCCATAAAAGTACCATTGAAGAAGCTTTGTAAAACTAAACACAAAAGAGAATTGGTTCCTGCTGTGGTTCAGCTTCCTGGTAGATAATGACAACATGTTTTGTGAACAGAAAGCAGAAATACACCTCTTGTCTACAGCTCATTGGCATGGAGGCCAGGTTACACATGTCTTGTCTTCACTGCCACGCTAGAGCCAGGAGACTTATGGACATGGTGAACAACCACCATTCTTGGGTTTCCTGACTTCACATCAAGGGAGTTGGGTCAGAAAACCAGGGTCTGGGTGAAGGCCTCTATAGCAGGATATTGAAAGACTCCCACATTGGAATGCACCAAGCATACTCAGGGAGCCCCATACCCAAACTGGGACCCCCACCCAGAAAGGAGTATTGAAGTACTCCCACACTTAAATCTTTGTTACTGGGTCTCAATCCCTCCCGCTCCATTGCACACAGCCACAGCCACATCCTCAAGGTCAGGATTTGCTCAGGTCCTAGGTGGAATGTTGGGCAGCCCCCATGGGGGAATCACCTTATCTGTAAATCTACCCCACTGATTACTTTCTTGCTCTATACTCCTTGTGTCTGACTCTCAAAGTCATATTTTGGCATTAATACAGGGAACATTCACCTGACTACTCCCTTTCCTCATCGGAAGGTGGGGGTCACTTTCCAGAGGGCCGCTTTCACGTCCTTGTTCCGCAGGGTGTAAATGAGAGGGTTCAGGGCAGGGCTGACTGCTGTGTACAGCACAGCGACAACCTTGCCCTTCTCCATGGAGCCACCTGAGACTGGAAGGATGTAGGTGTAGATGACGCTGGAGTAGTACAAGGTGACCACCAGGAGGTGGGAGGAGCAGGTAGAGAAGGCACGGCGCTTGCCTGCTGCCGAGCGAATACGCAGGACACTGGTCACAATGCAGCCATAGGAGGCCAGGGTGAACACAAAATTGACCACACCAAAGTAGACATCAGCAATGACTACCACGACACTGTTGAGGGTTGTGGGGCTGCAGGACAGCAGCAGCAATGAGGGGATCTCACACAGAAATTGCCCGATGTGGTTGGGGCCACAGAAGTTCAGCCGTGTCATTAGGCCTGTGTGCACAGATGTGTTGAGAGCACTGACTATCCAGACAGTCATGGCCAGCAGTGTACACAGTGGCCTGCTCATGATTGCACTGTAGTGCAGTGGCCGACAGATGGCCACATAGCGGTCAAAGGCCATGGCTGTAAGGAGCAGCAGCTCAGCCCCCAGGGACCACGTCAGGAAGAATAGCTGGGTCAGACAGCCCCCATAGGAGATGGTGTCCACCCCAACCACCAGGCCCTCCAGCAGCTTGGGGAGAACAGTGGATGTGCAGACAATGTCCAAAAAGGCCAGGTTGGCAAGGAAGAAGTACATGGGAGTGTGCAGGCCTGGGCTCAGGCTGATGGCTATGATGATGAGGCCATTTCCTGTAAGGGCCATCAGGTAGAGGAGGAGAAAAGGGGCTGAGAGCAGTACCCGGACCTGGGGGTCTTCTGAGATGCCCTGCAGGATGAACTCCACTACGGCTGTGTGGTTGTCTGCTGCCATGTTTGTGGGCCTCTTGGGTCCCTGCACAGAGTAGGGGTATAAGATGGTGGGAGACATGAACCTTGGCCATGACCCTGATCAAACCTCACCAAGACTTGTTTGGAACTTCACACAGAACACACAATTAAGGTATTGATGTGTCCTTGCATTCTGGAGGCCAAAACCAAACTAAACCAACTGCCATTGATTTCATTCTGACTCATAGTGACCCTACAGGACAGAGTAGAACTGCCCAATAGGGTTTCCAAGGCTGCAAATCTTTACAGAAATAGACTGCCTCTTGTCTTTCTCCCCATGAAATGGGTGGTGAGTTCAAGCCACTGAAATCACTACACCATGAGATCTCCTGTCCTGAGGCACTCAATGAATCATTTTCACCCTGGACCCTCCCCAGTGACCCACCTGGCCCTGAAGATATCCCTTCCACAGCTATCCCCCATATATGGCCAGGCCAGCAGCTCACAACAGGTTACACAGTGAGTGCAGAATGAGCCTTTACTCACTTTAATTTTGATCATTTCCTTCCTCATCTGAGGCCTACAGGTCTTGTCCTGCCTCTCAATGCCCAGGACTCACCACTGACTGATCAGGCAGCAAACCAGGCTCTGGGACTTTGTGTCCCAGGAAAAAGCGCTTGGGACGCCACCAGGGCATCAAGGCTCTGTTCTTCTGAGCAGACGAAGCCTCAGAGCAGGGAAGGCAGGGGGTCCGTTGGGCTCACCTGTGCAGGCGCTTTAGTCACAAGCATGACTCCAGCCAGTCTCACCTGCTACAGGCTGCTCACCAAGAAATGATCAACCCTCCTCCAGGAGGGAGGAGTGGGATACACCATCAGCCCCAGTGTGCATCAGGGCAGCTGAGTCCACTAGCAGTAGGCAGACCCCATCTCATTTAACCTGGGCTGGTGGGAAACCCATTCCTTCAGTGAGTGCCAGGCTTTCCAGGACTGAGGACAGCAGGGATGGGCACATATCAAGCCTTAGCACAAGTCTGTGAACACTGCCCTTCTAAGAGGGCTTGCCCTGCATCCATATGAAGCAGGCTGAGGGCTGCCCCAAGGCACAGTGCCCACACATGTGCATGTTTTGAATGAAGCCTTGCCTCCTCCACAGCATAATGCAGACAGGAGACTATACATACTCAGGGACATGGGGTTTGCCTTAGTGACCTCTTGGGTGGAGCTCCAGGGTGGGAGAGTTCTGGGTTTTCTGACCTTGCTGACTGCTGGTTCATAAATCCCCTCACCCTTCCCTGTGACTGTTGTCAAACAAGGACAGCACAGCCCTCAGTGAGTCACAGCACTTGGTTTGCAGAGAAATAGAGCCCAAGCTTCAGGAAGGGGCTCACTGCAGGGGCTCTGCCTCTGATGGTCCCTACCAAGCACCCCTAGTGGTCACACGTCATCCCACCCCCAGCACCCACCAACACCTTCCAGAAGCATATGATGCCCATAAGCCCTCCTCTGGCCTCGGCCACCAAGGACTGGGCACCGCTGGCCTGCTGATCCACCTGCAGGCCCTGCCGCTCCCCTCTCCCATGCCCCCTCCCTCTACCTCCACACTCCAAAGCTCTTGCACCAGAGTCACAGAAATTCACAGTTGGGTTCCAACTACATCAGCAACCTCCTACTCCTTTGACAGACAGTGACCTACGATGGAGATTGGCATCTTCCGTGATTTCCCTCTTACCAGTAGTGAACCACCCAGCCAGTCAGGACTCAGCACAGATGGGTGGCAGATGCGGCACTTTACGGTTTCCAACTGAAATAGCAAAAGATATGAGCAAAGCACTTTAGGGGGATTTTTTCCTCTGTGGTAAAATAGATTTAAAAAAAAAAAAAAAAAGATCTGACTTTCCAGACACATCCAAAACAAATTCAGACAGATGGTCCAAAAGGCCAGGGGTGGACAGACAGACAGAGAGCTATCCATTATGACTATCTCCCACCCCAGTTGTTTTCTGATGTGATGCCACACTCCGTAACATCTCACACTGGTGGGGAAGCTGAGATGTGACCTGTGTCCAAAGCCCCATGTCTTGCTGCTCGGTGGCACCTTTGTTTGCTCTCGACCTTTAACTGGTGACCACCCCCTCAGGGGGACACGTCATTCCAGCTCCTGCCAGACTGGGCCCTCGAGAGCAATTTCCGCATCTGAAGGCAGACAGCCCTCAGGGTGCAGTCCAGGGTTGAGTTAGTTCAATCGGCCAGGGCCTTGCAGATGACTGCGGAGGGGCTCCAAGGCCTGGCACTGCCAGCAGTGGAGGAGGGCTTGTGTGCCCCATGGGCTGGGTCAGGCAGCAAGTCCTTGCCGCCATGACTCAGACGAGAGCCTGCGTGCAACCAACCCCTGTGAGAAGAATGGATTTCTGTTTAAAATGACATCAGGTTTTAGAGACACTTTAAGAGAACAGTCAGGAAGATGGGACAGAGATCTCCAGACACCCCCCAGCCAGGTTCTCTGCTGTTAAGTTCTTACAGAAGGATGGGACATTTCTTGCAACAAAATGGGCCAGTATTGATACATGACTTTTAACTGAAGTTCACACTTTATTCCTATGTCCCCAGTATCCTTTTTCTACCCACCCAGGCCCCACCTGGGACCCAATTACTCATCACGTCTCATCAGGCTCCTCTTGGCTGTGTCAGTTTCTCAGACTTTCCTTGACTGAGGTCCTTGACAGTTATGAGAACTGCCCAGGTGTTCTGCACAATGAGCCTGTTTAGGGAGCTGTGTTAAGTCTTTCTCCTGATGGCATTAAGGCTGTGGGTTTGGGGAGGGAGACCACAGAGTGCCCTGCTCATCACATCATACCAAAGGTACAATCAGTGTTGTGTCTATGTCCTTTAATTCCATCAATAAACACATATTTCAAGAGGTAAACAATGATTAAATATTCCAGGTGACAGATGGTATTACAATGAATTCCTGACACTTAAGAATTTAAACAATTCTGGTAATTTTTAGATGAGCCCTAACCTACAGCTTTCTCCTTTTCCTAAGTGAACACACTATTTTTCTAAAGAGATGATGTTGACTCATAAAACTGATCGGTGAACAAGGGTCCCTACCACACTTATTCCGTGGCCAACAGGTAACAACTATTTACAGATGAGTCTCCAGAGCCCCACTGACCGGTCGAGACCACATTGGTGCTGAGCACCCGCCACACACACAGAACTGTCGGAGGGCTGTGAGGGGGCTGCACACAGTGGACCGGTCTCTTCCCTCCGAGGTCCAGGGTCACAAGGAGCAGGCAGCCCAGAGGTGGGATCAGCACTATGTTGACTCAGCCGGAGGGGGTTAAGGCTCTCTCTGCTGACCCTGTGCGGCACTTCCGGGGATTCAAAGGGCAAAACAGATTTCGGTCCAAGAGGGAGATACTTCACAATGACATTAAACGGCAGGGAAGCGGCGCTGGGAAGGATTGTTCATAAGGGGGTTCAGAAGTTGCCCCTTCCCGCCTCTGCAGGAAGGCCGAGGCGGGGCAGATTCAGTGCACAGCCGCTGGGGCCCTGGAGCAGTGGGCTGGCCTTGCAGAGTGTCTGGGTGAGGGAACGTGCAGCTGCACTGGGGAGAGTGGAAGACCCTGTGTGGGCCATGGGGGAAAGGGCAGGGACTGGGGGAAGAGTCACACTCACTGGGGAGACAGCAGGAGGCAGTGGGGACCCACCTGAGACATTATTGCATTAGGACTGTGTTTTGGTTACCCAATGCTGCTCTGACAGGAATATATACCACAAATGGGATGGCTTGGAGAGAATAAACAGGAGTTTATTCTCCTACAATTTGGAGGCTTTAAGTCCGAGTTCAAAGTGTCAGGCTCTAGGGGCTGGGTGAAAGCCCCTCAGCCTTGGGCTTTAGCTCTGCCTCCTGCTCCCGGCCCACTGGAGCTAGAGGCTTTTCTTCACTCAG